GGCCGACTTGTTTTTGGAAAGAAGAAATACATACGATTCTAGCATTCTTATCGAGCTGTGTTGATAGTACACTATACAAAGTCTTCACAAGGGGGCATAATTCTACTTTGGAAATGTAATTGAAGTTAGGACAAGATACAGTACAGCCTCTTTGCATCAAGACCTGCCAGCGACTGAGTTCTTCTGAGAACTCTGACCCTAGCTTTTGTTCTACAAGTGCTGCTCCCTGGAGGCTACCTGGCATGCAGGCATACAGAACTGCTACACTAACTCCACCCAAAGCAGCTCATGTTTGTGATTTTTACAAAGCTAACACAGAGAACACCAGCCACTTCATGATTTGCACTGAGGGCCTCATTCACTTCCAATGGTTGGACTATCACGTAACGTATGCAAGCAGGCAGCTGGTTCCACTCGAATTACACACCCCCAGCAGTTCAGTGAGCAACACCTCAGAGGCCAAGTATTGTGATTCTTTCTGCCCTGTTTATAGGATCAAGGCCTCATCACAATATCCAGGTGATTCATGTTTTCTGTCATCTTAGGGCATTGCCGTGCTAGTTGTGTTTTCATTTTCCCTTACCCCACAGAACAGGAGCTTATATTATCACCAAAGATGGTGGAGATGAGGAGCCTGTAGGCCCTTCCTCTTGGTACCATCTTCTTTCCCCTCCATCTTTCACATTTTGCATAGCTGTACTCAGTCCACCCCCTCCATCCCAACACATAACATTCCTATTAGTACTGCTTTTTCTTTAGATGCCATCTGAGCATTAGACTTGTATCCTATTTCCAGGTGTCTCTTTAAATGTGAAGGTTCATTATTGTTCCACAAGATGTGTATGTCTTTAAGGGCCAGAGCAAATAACGAGACCCAGTTTTACAGCTGTGAAACAGTATAGCAGGTGCTGCTAAGTTGTGTTAATTAAGCTGTGTCAGCAATTGGTTATAGTATATAAAGAGCAGCACCTAGCTCTCTCAGTACCCTGGGGGATGGGTTGGTGGTTGGGTCATGCTTGTTGATATATTTAGTGTAAAAGGAGTTTTTGTTTTTATTATTAAAACCTTGTTAAAGTTATTTTTGAGTTCCTTGTAATGTGTGGTCGCCCCAGCAAGCTTTCTGCAGCGCAACTAAACTGCAAATAGCCAACACCAGGGGCATACCTAGGGGTTGGCAAAACCAGCCCCAACCAGGGACTCAAGCCAGGGGTGGGACAAGAATCACTTATCAGATCATGGAGTGTATGATGTATATATGCAAGATCAAATGCGAGAGAAGTTTCCCGTCCTTGTTGCACCATGGCACAAAGGTGTGCATTTTATTTATTTCTTTATTTGACCTTTCTACTCACCTCGCCCTCACTCTGAATGCTTTGAGTACTTGAATCACGTAAAATGTAGCAATTTCTACAGTAGCTATTGTGGTAAAGTTTTTTTTCTGGCACCAGTGCAGATACAGCTCCTTGCCAAAGGTGCAAAGGACCCTAGGTAAACCTCTGCCTATTTTAGTTTTAGAAGCTGTATAAGGAGTTTCAGAACAATAGATGCTCCAGCAGCCGAAGCTTAGGGAGTTTTCACCTGACCATCTTGCCTAAAAGAGTAAATATTTGTATCCCACTCATTTTCGGTTTTGTTTGGTACACCACCTTCTCTCTAGTAAGCTATAAACACTATGGGAACAAATGCTTTATTCCCTCTTGCAAAATATATGAACAGAGCAATAAACCACCAAAGATCTAAGTAACAGTGCTGTGGAAAGTAGGGTGTTGTACTCATCTTCAAAAAGGGGAAAAATTAAAGCTCACTTAACTACCAACTGGTAAGCTTGACACTGATACCAGGAAAGGTCCTAGAACAGTTAATTCAACAGTTGGTCTGTGCACACTTAGAAAAGGATGCTGTGATTATAAAGACCCAATGTGGGTCAAGAACAACTCATGCCAGATCATGGGTGTAGTCAAGCCGGGGCAGGGAGGGGCAGCTGCCCTCCCCCCAAATCAATAAAAAATACATAGGAAAGGTTCTTCCCTGCTCCCCTACGAAAAGGCTTGCTTCCCCCAACAAAAATCCTGACTATGCCCCTGTGCCAGATGAATCTCATTTCTTTCTTTTTTTATAGTTACAAGCTTGGTAGATCAGGGGAATGCTGTAGACATAGTATATCTTGATTTCAGTAAGGCTTTTGGCAAGGGCCCCCATGATAGTCTTGTGGAGAAGCTGGTAAATGTGGATTAAACAAGGTAATTGTTAGGTGGATTTGTAGCTGGTTGACTGACCAAACCCAAACAGTGCTCAGTAATAGTTCCTCATCATCCTGGGGGGGAAAGTGACAAGTGGGGTGCCACAAGGTTGTCCTGGGCCTGTTGTTGTTCAACATCTTTATAAATGACTTAGATGAAGGTATTCAAGGGATGCTTATCAAATCTGCAGTTGACACCAAACTGGGAAGGGTAGTCAATGCCGCTAAAGACAGAATCAGGATTCAAGATTACCTTAACAGATGGGAGAACTGAACCAAAACTAAGAAAAAGAATTTCAACAGGGACAAATGTAAGGTTCTACACTTAGGCAGGAAGAACGAGCTCCACAAATTATAAGATGGGGAACACTTGGCTAGCCAGTAGTAGATGTGAAAAGGATCTAGGGGTCATAGTAGACCACTAGCTTAACAATGTGATGCAGAAACAAACAAACAAAGCTAATATTATTCTAGGCTGCATCAACAGAACTATAGTGTCCAGATCAAGGGAAGTAATAGTTCCATTCTATTCTGCCTTGGTCAGACCACACCTGGAATACTGGGTCCAATTCTGGGCACAATTTCAGAAGGAGAGCAACCAAGATGATCAAGGGTCTAGAAACCAAGCCTTGTGAGTAGTGGCTGAAGGAGCTAGGGATGTTTAGCCTGGAAAAGAGGAGACTGAGAGGAAGTATGATAGCCATCTTCAAGCATCTGAAGGGCTGTCACATGGAAGATGGAGGAAGCTTGTTTTCTCCTGCTCTCGAAGGTAGGACTTGAACCAATAGCTTCAAGTTACAAAAAAAGGTATTTTGACTAAACATCAGGAAGAACTTTCCGACAGTAAGAGCTGTTAGACATTGGAGTGGTCTCCGTTAGGAGGTTGTAGACGCTCCATTTGAGGCTTTTAAGCAGAGATTGGATGGTCATCTGTCATGGATGCTTTAGATGAGATTCCTGCATTGCAGGGGGTTGGACTATATGACCCTTGGGGTCCCTTCCAACCCTAAGATTTTATTATTCTATTATCTGTCATTCCACATAATTTCCCCCCCACAATAATCGCAGGCTGTGGATATTTGCTGAGAGCAGGGGAGGTAAACTCTGAATCCAGCTTTTCCAGTGTTTGTAGGAACTAAGAGGCTTAGCGATATCAAGAGCAGTGGTGCTCTCTCTCTCTTTCTTTCACAAACACACACATACATACACTTGCCTGATTAATCAGGTATTCAGCTTATCCCACACCTCTTTCTCTGGTCTGTAAACAAAGACACTCCTTAGAGAAGTATCACACACACACAAACCTGGATCTATTAGAAAATCTAATTTGAGGCCAAGATCATCTTCCATTTATCCAGCCAGACAAGCATATTTCAAAATTCAAGCAGAGGCGGCCAAGCTTCACACAAGGGACCAAATTAGTTTATCAACACACAAGTATAAAACCAGCCATCTGCACACCAAACTAGCTAGTTTGAAATCAGGTTATGCGCTAGCGATTAACCAAATCCAAAATCATGTCAGCACTAGATTTAGTGAGTCACAACTAGTTCAAAGGCTTCCAGCAGGGCGAAATAAGATTTACACCGTCAGCATGAGCAGAATCTAGCTCTCTGTTACAGCAAAGAAGTGAATAAAAGTTATCCTTTCTGTAAGATGCACACAACTAACTGCATGCTTTCTTCAGATCTCGCTACCAACCAGCTACCCTAGAATACCCCCCACAGGATAGCTGCCCTTACTTCATTTTAAACCCCTTAATAAGTCTGCAAAGTTCTCAGGACAGATCGCTATGTACACCCTCCCACTCTGCACCTAGCTAAGTAATCTACAACAGAAAAGCTCCCTCCACCAGATGACTGAGTGGATGGCCAGAGCCCATCATCCCTACAGATTCCTCTGTTCAGATGTGGCCTCCAGTTCCAGCCCCAGCTCATGAAACCCATCTTGTTTGGGACAGTCATTTTGCCTGTGCTAATAGCTCCGCATCAAGTTTGCACAAGCCCAGCCCTTAAAATGAGTATGAGTGCCTGTGGGAGGGAGGGAGAAAGACCTGCTTGTTGGGCTTGGGACCTGCCAGAACTTAGTCACCCTTATTAATTTAAAGAGGAAGCTTTCGTGCCTAGCAAGGAGTGAAACTACCAGTAGATCCAGTACAGGAGCTCAGCTGAGCCAGAGGGATGGGTCATGCCCAGCCTTGATAGAATTTGTGGAGGAACCTGTCCTCTAGCCACCTGGCATCACAGAGACTCAGAAGTCCTTGCTTCCTTGTAATACAGCTGCAAACACAATCCTGGTTCCTGAGTAGGGTGGCCAGCTACAGACAATGATGGGACTCCTGCGCCTTTAACAAGTGTGTAAAAGTGGGGATTTTAGCAGGTACATAAACACCACTTACTTCCACACAACTATTAATGGCATAGGAACCCTATCCCTCTTTGCACCTGGCCACCTCATACCTGAATTTCCATCTGTGTTAGGCACCCAAGCAAAATGGGGAGAAAACTGAAACTGGCACAGCTGCAGGTTTCGTTAGTCCAAGTGTTACTGAACTCCCAACTCGTATCAGCCACAAGGGATTGGGAATGACAAGAGTTGCAGTCCAACCACTTCTGGAGGGCCACAGGTCCCCCACTCTTGTTTTTAAACCTAACTTGTGAAACAAAGAGCAGTTTCCTATTTTAAAAGATGTCTACCTCGCCATTTCAGACGCCGTCCTCCTGCCCACATTTTTTTTGCAGTTAAATTAGAAATAAACTACTTTAGTTCAGATTTTTTATTATTTGTCTGCATCAGATCAACAATCTTTAAAAGGTATGCATATAGAGAAAACTAACATTTTGCACGGTAGATTGCTTGATGGGCCCAAGCCAAACACACACACAATATTAACAATATAATACAGACAGGTGCAGTGCACATACCAGGGCTGAGGTCATTTACCCAGCCTATAAAAAAACAACAACAAAAAACAACAATACATTTACAGCATTTTTTAAAAGAATTACAACTTGTTTGCAGAAGCTACATATTGAGAGGGTCCTTTTCTCTTCGGAAAGAAAGTTTCAAGTATAGCAGAAATGGACAAAAATGCCCTTTACAAAAAAATTAAAAGTAAAAAAGCTGCCATGGCAGTTGTAGGAGAGGGATTGCAGCTGCAGCAGTACCTGGCTTCATGATCATCCTTTGGAAGGAGACACCAAAACAGATATTAAAAGGTTATCAGTTAATCAACCAAATCATTAGCCTTGTAGAACAGATTGCTTTCATGATCCAAACAGCATCTTTACTTTGAGCAAAGGAATAGGCAGTTCAGGACAAATGATTGCAAGAACAGAACCATAGTTTTCAGTTGTACTTTTACAAAAATGTCGCTAGTACTTTTACAAAAATGTCACTAGTACATAAATCTACAAGAGTCTTGGAGCATTCGTTGCCTTACACATTTGTTTAAGAAGCAAGCAAAGATGGCTTTCTTTCCCATTTACGAAGGCAAGAGGTTGAAAATCATGTTACATTCTCACAAAGCACCTAGAGGTATTGCAACCAAGCAGATGTATGGACATCTTCTTGTCAGTTAAAAGCTAAGACAGTTTGGTTGCAATACTATGCACACTTATCTGCGAGTAAGCCCTGCTGAAAAAAAAGTGGGATTTATTTTTCAGTAAACATATAGGATTGTACAGTTAGCCAGCCAAAGCACAATTCTATATAAACTTATTTAAAAGTGGCTCCCACTGCATTTAGTGTGACTTGTTCCGTTGAAAGCAAAGATCACATCCACAAGAAATTTAGCTGGTTGACAGCACCGAAGTAGTACACATTTATAAGGCAACTTTTTGAAGGTTTTGCTTATAAATATGTGATATCTCAATTTTGCAGGGAAAAAGTGTATTTGAATGTTAAGGCATTTTTGGCAATGCTTTAGCAGCATCTCTGAGCAGGACAAGGGGGGGAATTAACATTGCATACTTTGGGGATACTTTGCATACTTTAGGCATACTTTGGGGTTAAGGGTTGGGGGGGAGAAAGACAGGATTCCTCTGCTTAATAAAAGTTGTGTAGAAGATGTAAGCCTGCGTGACAACTTACAACTATTAAACTATACAACTAATTAAAGATGCCGGAGTCTTGTCCTCATTTTCAGCTTGGCCACCTTAGAACACTTGCTAAACTCAATTGTGCTTTTTTTAAATGCATGGATTGTGCTGTTAGTCGCATTAAACTCAAATGGGACTGGCTTCTGAGTTAAGTATCAGCAGGATTGTCCTGCACTACATTGGTCCTTGAAACCCTTCAGCTCATGCAATCTTCCAGAATAAGTTTTGCCTTTTGTTCAGGGTTTATATTTTGGTTTTACAGCCTGTTCCAGAAGTGACCATTTCAGAAAAAAGTTGACTTCCCCCTAGTCCCTTCCCTGGTCATTATATACATTGGCAAAACATGAGGTAACACCCCCGCCCAAATCTATCTTTGATTAAAAAAATTTGGTATGAGATGCAGATGTTTTAATTCACTGGGGTAACATAGTTCAAGCCAACCTTTTTGGATCTGTCCCTTTTGGCACCATCCCTTTGAACAAAAGGAGCCAGCAAGTTTAAATTTGTCCCTCTTTTCCTCAAGGATACCTACTATAAAAAGGTAGTTTGACAAGAGCAAGCATTTTACATTACAAGATAAAAAATAAAGACCATTGTACAGAGCAAAACATTAAAAAGTTAAACTCGCTTGAGGCAATTGACATAGTCTTTGAACTATGGCTGTGTGCACACTGAAGATTTGGAATGGGAATGGCAGAGATATGCTGCCACAATTATAGTGCCCACACACAAATATTTCCAGTGCAATTTTTCATATACTCTGCTGCAGTTAGATCTGTGTAACTATTCACTCTTAAATACACAAACGTTTTCCATATTGCCATGGAAGAACCAACTGGGTTTCCTCTTTAAATATTAAAATGTTTTACTAATATATACATAATTTACCTCTTCCAATAAGAAAATATTCCATCCCTTCATAAATAGAGTTCAGAGTCTCTTTGCGTCCCTGCCCCGTTGTCCTGTCCCATCCCCCTCTTCTTCATCCCTACCACATCCCACCCAGGTGCCCCGGGAGCAGGCCATGCTTCACACATGCCTCTTCATGTGCAGGGCCAGGTGATCTGATCGGGAGAAGGCACGGTCACAGAGGTGGCACTGGAAGGGCCGAACACCAGTGTGTTTGCGGTAATGGCGTGTTAGTTCATCTGACCGTGCAAATTTCCAGCCGCAGCCTTCCCAGTTACAGTGATAAGGCTTCTCACCTGGAAAAACAGAAAAGGAGAGAAAGGTGAACTTTCTAGCCTGGTGAAAAGGAGTGCAAATGGCCCTGTCTCCACCCACCCTGGGGCAAACACTCGCCCAAATAAAAGATCATGTGGGCCTATTCCAGGGAATGTGCTCTCCACTGATCTCACATCCCTGGTGAAAACTGGCCCCAACGATGTCCTACATTGGACATAACCGCTTTACATCAAACTCGCATTAGTTCAACCTAGTCAGCGGTCTTAACTGGAGAGTTCTGTAAACAAACTTCCGGGCAAACAACATGCACAGGATTGTATTGCATGCGCCTTTCCAGAAACAATTTAATTCGTGGAATAAAGCAACAAGACGCACTGGCGCTGTCCTGCCAAGCTCTGCTCCTGCAGCGTCCCCTGTACACAAGCCGCACATTCCCGGGAAGACATGATTGGCCAAAGCACGCCCAAGCGTCATATAAGATCAGCCTGGCAGAGTTTGCTGCCAGTTTTCGCACACTCTGCGAGTCTGCCCTGCGTCCAATTCTCCACATTGCTACACCCTGTGCGCCCACGGGGGGGGGGGGAACACCTCCGCCCCGCTCCTCCTCTTGGGGAGCCCTTCTCCGCGAGCCCGCTTCCCCACATCCACCCACCCGAGGCGGTCCGCATCCCCCCCCCTAACTCCACTCCCAGCCCCGCGCCCTCCTGTCCGGGCCCTGCGCCCTTCTTACCCGTGTGGGTCCGCATGTGCGCCTTGAGATGTGAGCTCTTCGTGTAGGTCTTGCCGCAGCCGGCGAACTCGCAGTTGTGGGTGGCCGTGCGCTTGCGCGCCCAGGACCTGCGGCCCCTCTTCGGCTTGCACTCCTCCGGCGGCCCCATCGGGGCATAGTAATCCAAGACGGGCGAGTTGGGCGGCGTTACCAGCAGCCCGTGCAGGCCCTGGGCGTGCGCGTTCAAGGACTCCCGGAAGACGCTGAAGTGTCCACGGAACTGGGGCTGCATCTGCCCGGCGAAGTTGGGCGGGAAGAGGTGGGCCCCCCGGGGGTAATGCTGGGGGGCTCCCATCTGCGCGTGCATGTCGCCGGCCGCGGGGCTCATCTGCTCGCTGGGGAAGCCGGAGGGCGCGTGCTGCGGGAGGGGCGGTTGCTGCTGCTGCTGCTGCATCATGGCCTGCATCAGGAGGGGCTTGTGGTCCAGAGGAGCGGGCCCCAGGCAATCGGGGCTGCCGCTCATCATGCACGGCTGCCCGTCCATCGGCTCCTGCTTGACGCGCAGGTGCTCCATGGATAGGCCCCGAGCTAAGCCTGGGGGAGCGTGGGCCAAGCCAGGGGCGCGCAGCTCCGTGTATTCCCGCCGCTGCAGCTCGCAAGGGCCCGGCCCGGCTGCCGGGTGCTGTTGCATGTCCTGCGTGAAGAGCTCGGCCATGTAGCTGTGGCCGGGGCTGGGCATGTAGGACGCGGCGAACTTGTTGGAGGGCTGCTGGTAGTTGGAGCTGTCGCTGTCGTAGGTGGTGCCGCAGCTCTCGGGAGTCTCGGGCAACGGGTAGTTGGGGTTGGGGTGCGGGGGCGCCGCCACCCCCGTGGGCTGCCCGTTCGTGGTGTGCGCCAGGATGAACTCCAGGTCGACGAAGTTCCCTAACTCGTCCGCTTCCCTCTTGATGGTCGCGGCGCCCTCCACGTGGGTGGGGATCCTCTGCTGCTGCTGCTGCGTGGATAGGAGCAGCGGGGTTATGGCGGGGAAAGAGTTAAGGTGCCAGGCGCAAACATGCTACTGGGGAGCCAAATCCAGACACTATTTATAGCACCCCCTAACCTGAAAAACGGGTTGCGCGCACCTTCCCTCTCCGATGAGTTTAAGGGCAGGGCGCGCCTGGCACTCAAATCACTTCGAATTAATACCAATCTGCTAGGCTCCACCGGATCCCACCCGATCCCCTCGTTATGGTTTGGAGGAGCGGATCCTGCGTCTACACAGCCTGCTAGTACGCCAGTCAGGAATGAGCCGGGATCGCTTCCTGATCTCTCCAAAATGTACCCATCTCCTCTTGGAATGTAGTTAATTATGGAGGAGTTAATTGACTTGACCCCCCCACTAGCCCCGCCCTCTCTCCGCCCCCGCCCCAATATTTGATTGGTTCCGCTCAGCGAGAAGCCCCTCGCGCTGGAATATGACTGGTACGCTCCGTCCTTTGCAGATTACGGCGGTCTTTACCAAAACGTCCCGCGGAGAGTTAAGTTTAAATTTCTCGGCCGTCAAAAAAACTTCATCCCTGCATCCTTTCCAAGTCCCACAAAAATATATTCAAGGTGTTTTTGTTTCTAGCTAGCCTTTAAATTGTTAGATCGCCCAGAAATTGTCGTGGGACAAAAATACATTTTGCACGCAAATACGTATAAGGGAGCCATGACGACCTTTAAGAAGAAAAGGGAGATTTTAGGGGGGGGGAGAGAGCAATGCTTAACCACCTTCCTCCTCCACTACCACGCTTTTCTGCTCAAAGGCTCTACCCTAATAGCCTTTTTCGTAGGGACACCCATTCCGGCTTCAAAATGTCCCTCTCCCAAAGTTTCTTTATTAAACGATCAGAGCTTGCACGCGCCGCCACTGCCCTTCGGGGTGCCTAAGGCTGCGCAGGATCGGGACACAAATCAGGTAGGAATTCCAGTAACTGTGAGGGGCTAACTTTGCTACCGAACAATTCGGGCATCAATTCAGCCTGATCAGGAACTCCACCCTTACTCTCTGCACGTACTCCTGGACCAGGATAAAACTCGCATATATACATTCTAGTATCCTGCCCGCGCTCCAAGAGGCTGAGTGTGGTATTTTAGCCTCACAGCTGTGAATTGAGTTTAAGGCATGTGCCACTCCAAAATTCTTAAGATAATTTCGATAAGTTTTTTCTTTTCTTTTTTTTTAAGCGAAAACCTCAATAACGTTGGTGCCCCCAAACAGCTCAGGCAAGAGTTTTAAATTAACATCGTTGAAAAATCTTATTGCTCGCAGCCGATCCTGACCTGTGTCATTTTTATATGATCCAAGGTAGTTTATCCTCCTACGAGTGCAAAGACCAGGAACCTCCCCAGCAAAGCCAGGCAGGTTAGAAGTGGGGTGCAGCCTCAAGGCGCCGTCGCGCAGAGTTTCTAACACCCCACCTCAAAATACACATCTGGATCCTGGCGGCGGCAAGGGGCGCAACGGGGGGCGATTAAGAACGGGAAAACTGTCCCCGGGGGCCAAGGGCCCCTGCCCCGCAACCCCTCCAAATAGTCTCGGAGCGCCATTCCGTTAATATTAGTTTTAATGTACGGGAGGGTCTTCCTTGCGCCTTGCCCCTCCGGCGCTTTCCCAAACAGTTCCGTGCGCCCTCACCTGTACCATGTCGGGCTGCCGGTCTTCCAGCGGCACCAATCCGGCAAAGGTGGAGATAGACGGCAAGACAGCTTCCTCCACGGCTGCGCTCATCTTGCACGGTGGCTTGAGCGGGAAAGAGCTAGGAAACTGCCCCGAGTCCGGCAGCTCCCCTCCAGGCACTGAACGAGCGCTGAACTTCTGCAAGCGCCAAAAAAAAAAAAAAAGTTTCCTTGCGTTCCAGTAGTAAAACAGCTGAGCTCCCGTGCGCTCTGATTGGCCGAGGCGAACTACATATTCAGGAGGCTCATCTTTGGAATTTATTACAAAGGAAACGGCCACGCCCACTACAAAGGTCTCGGCTGTAGTCGAAGCTCCTTGACAAGCAAATGGAAATGAGCAAGAAAATCCCATTCTTGGTAAAGGAAGGGGGGCAACTTCCCACTTTTTTTTAGATCCAGAAGCAGACCTACTAAGTAAGCGGTCTTTACTCTGGAGCAATTGTCACGGAATGCTTCCGGTAGGCACTTCGTAGGAAATCGATTCGGAGAGAGCAGCCTCTTCGAGATCCACGGTGCTCTAGTGATTAGTTAGTGTCCGCTTGGGTTTGCGGAGAGGCAGGTTTAAATCCTCACTCTGGCCAACTGGCGATGGCTAAGAGACCACGCAGGAGGGGTTGTTGTATGCGAGGATAAAATTGCAGTGTGTGTATGAGAGACAGAGAACATCAAATACTGTACCCTGCTTTTCCTAGAAGGAGAGGTAGTGTGTGTGTGTGTGGTCGATAAATATAAGATACAACTTATAGTTAAAGCCAGGATCCAGCTTCTAGGGGAAGCTATGAACCTATGCATGGAAGCTTGGAAGTCATTCTGCCCGCTTCATGCATAATTGCAAAAAACAGAAGTGCAAGTGGTGGTTGCCCAGTTAACTGTAATAGCAATGTCAGGGAGTTGTGTTTTGCCTCTGAACATCTCATGAAGCAGAGAAGAAAACAGCTACAATGAAGGGCTGTAAGAAGATCTTACGTGCCCCCACCCCAATGTCCACAGCTGAAAATGGCATAGTTGTGGCTACTGCTAAAGTTCCAAAGAACATATACCAACACCCATTAAAGCCCACAGTTATGTCTTATGCAGTTATGCTGCTTTCAACTTTGTTACATTGTATGTCTAATTTAAATTGTTTTCTTCCTTTCTATAAGGTGTCCTGATTTTTCTTTTTAAACTGGACATCCTATCGGTATTGTTCATAAATTTTAAAAAGGGTATGAAATAGGAAAGGCAGATCAGGTGGCTGAACAGGCATGTTTATCTTAATTAGAGAGTGAGAAGGAATATTGAAAGTCACGTACAGTACTTCAACAACCTATACCCAATCAAAATGTTTCACAGCAGACTGAAATCCTCCATAAAGTCTTCACAGAAAGGCATCCCATAACTGCCCTTGGACTCAGTTCAGAAATTCAGAGATGCCCATTGTAAAGGGATATTAGGGGTCTATAGAAATACAGTTCTGCTATTCCTCTTCAGTAATTTGCTGTGGAAGTAGCATCTATAGCAAATGAGTTCTGGTTCTGATGCATGATTTTCCCTCTACGGAAGAAGGTAAGTGGAGAAACACACAGGGTGATAGACATAATGTTTGGCACACAATGTGTTTCATGGGTATCTCCACAAAAATAATGATTAGAATTGAGTGAAATAATTTAAGAGAAAGGTCTGACTTCCAAGTTTAGAAACCAAACGGGGCAAATTCTTAGCCCCACCTCCCAAAAGACAGCAGAAGGGAGATGTCACAATAGTGAATGAAACTCAAAATCATAATGAGATCAATCCTCTGCATGATTACTCAGAAGTAAGCCCTTGAAGCCTGTCAATGAGTTCTAAGCATAATGTGCATTAATCATCCTTTATATGCAAAACCAAAGTCGGTAAAAGTTCTGGGTAAAACTGGGGCTTTAATCTATATTTGTGATGGTGTGTAGAAAGCAAGGGTTGAACATTTTTGAGCAAAAATGCTGGATAGTATCCAACTAGGCCATACTCAGAGTAGACCCATTTAAATTAATGGACTTGAGTCCGTTGTGATTTTGTATGCTATGTCCATATTAGCAGTGTTCTGAGGACAGCTCCGTTGGTAGAGCATGCAACTCTTAATCTCAGGGTTGTTGTGCAAATGATTCCTGCATTGCAGGGGGTGGGACTAGAAGACCCTCCTGGTCCCTTCCAGCTCTACAATTCTATGATTTCCTAGAGCTATAGAAAACAAGCTGTTGAAATTAAACAATTAAAATCATTTTTAAAAATAGACAATCTGCTGTTTAAATTACTCCTTCCTTTCTTCCTTGCCTCCTCTTATGTATGAAACTGCTACTCACATCACTTGAATGATGCTCTGCCTTAAATCCCAAACCTATCTTTTCTGTGAAGCCTTTGACACAGTCTCTATTTCCTATTGCAATTAAGCCTAAATATGTGTAAACTAGTAATGCATATTCTTCCCTTATTTACCCTGGCTTCAAGTTACAAAGAAAGGAGATTCTAACTAAACATCAGAAGCAACTTTCTGATAGTAAGAGCTGTACGACAGGGGAATAATCTCCCTCTGGAAGATGTGGAAGGATCCTTGGAGGTTTTTAAGCAGAGGCTGGATAGTCATCTGTCATGGATGCTTTAGCTGAGATTCCTCCATTACAAGGGGTTGGGCTACATGACCTTTGGGGTCCCTTCCAGCTCTATGATTCTATGATTCTACATGCCCCTCCCCTTTCTCTGTTGTCTCCCTGTGATAGATTATAGATTATAAACCCTATAGACAGAGACTTATCCCTTTGTACTCTATAAAGCCTCGTACACGCTGATATTTATATAAATCTTCAACAAAATGTTGCATTGGGGAGTGTTCTAGGCAGCCAACCTTGGGTTTTAAAAGCCAGGATATTATAGATTTTTAAAAGTTTCTATATCATTGCTATTGAAAACAGTTGCTTTTTGTTTTATGCTCAGTGGATAATATGTTGTCCATTTATCTTCTAAGATATTTTAAAAATATTTGCAAACTCTTCAACATATCTGTCCTAACTTTATTTCCCCTAAGATGGACCTGTTGCCCAGTTTCGTTAGCCTTTCCAGCTAGGAGTACTTCTAGACCCTTTGCCACCTTTGTTGTTTTCTTGTGAACCCCTTTGTTGCCTGTTAGCAATTTTTCTGAACTGCAAGTGCCTAAATGAATGCAATACTCCACTTGCAACCTTCAGCTAGACCTGGGTGAGTACCATGTGAGTCTTAATGACAAAGAACACTTACTTCACTTCTTCTTAGTCTTAGTAGTGATGCTTCTGCTGATAACAGAAAAAGACATTCACCATATTTGTCACAGAATCGTATTGCTGACTCATGCTTGGTTTGTTATCCGAGCTAACACTGATACCATTTTCAGCACTCTTGCTGCCTGCCTGGTTGTTCTCCTATCTTATTCCCAAACATTTGTATCTTCTTTGCCACTTCTAACATATATCCCACTTCTAACAGATCTGCCTTCGTGTTTCTTGCTGTCTTCTCATTTTGGTAGTTTGTTAGCTGGATTTTGAATTTTGAGCTTGAGCAAGTGATAAGGCTTACATTTCTCCCACACTTTAGGATTGAATCAGACTGCAGGGTCATATTGATTGGATTAGGGTTTTAGAGCAATATTAGCATCCCAATACTGAAATTACATCCATTAGCAGCATGAGATTGCCTGAGGCCACAATGCTAACCAAAATGGAAGTAGGGAGTAGAAAGGTGTGATTGGTAAACTATGGAGTAAATAATGGGTTATTCTAGGCCTACAGATCTCGCATGTCAAGCTTCTTGAAGACCTAGCTCAAACGGGTTGAAGGAGGAAGTTCACAGATTTGTTGTGATGATCACATGAGGAGAGGGATAACCATCCTTGAGCCCTTTGGAGGAAAGGTGGGATATAATAATAATAATAATAATAATAATAATAATAATAATAAATAATATAATAATACAGTGGTACCTCTGGATATGAATGGGATCTGTTCTGGAGCCCTGTTCGCATCCTGAAGTAAATGCAACCTGCGTCTGCACATGCGCGGGTCGCGATTCACCGGTTCCGCGCATGCATGTGACATAATTTTGACCTTCTGTGCATGTGTGAGCGGCGAAACCCGGAAGTAATGCGTTCCGTTACTTCCGGGTCACAGCGGAGCGCAACCCGAAAGCGTTCAACCTGAAGCAACTTCAACCCGAGGTATGACTGTATAACTATAGCCCAGGTTCATATCAGAATACTCTAGCATGTTTGCAGTTCCTCCAGATGTAGTATCATCCACAAATTTTATAAAGTTAAATGTACTAGACCCTGCAGTACTTCTATGGAATGCCAGTGGCTGTTTATTTTCAGAATCATATTAATCAATTTGTAACTACCATAGAACCACAGTACAGTTGTACCTTGGATCCTGAACGCCTTGGCTCCCGAACAATTGAAACCCAGAAGTGAGTGTTCCAGTTTTTGAATGATTTTTGGAAGCTGAACGTCCTGCGCAGTTTCCGCAGCTTCCAATTGGCTGCAGGAGCTTCCTGCAGCCAATCAGAAGCCGCGCTTTGGTTTCTGAACATACAACTGTATTGAAGAGTTGGAAGGAACCCCAAGGATCATCTAGTCCAACCCCTTGTAATGCAGGGACATGCAGCTGTCCCATCTAGGGATTGAACCTTCAACCTTGGCATTATAAGCAACACACTCTAACTAAGCTATCCCAGTTACTCAAGCCATCCATTCCTACCTCTTCAATAAAGTAGCAGAAGACAATAGGAATGTAGTTTGGATCCATTAAGGCTTTGGATGTAAGAAAGCTTGAGGAAAGTGACATAAAAGAGTAATATAAATTCTACTTTTTCTGCTGCTTGTTTAGCATGCCCAGAGCTGAGCCCACCTACAAGAGGATGCGTGCACATCAAGTTGTAGAAACAACACGTGCATTTCCCTATGTGAGGAGATGCACAGGCTTAGTTTTAGGTGTCAAAACCCAAGAGTTTTGGTTGTTCTTTCCCACCCCCTGAACAATAGTTTTAAATGTCTGAAGCAACTCAGACAATATAGCAAGAAATGAAATAGGGAGGCAGGTGGTTGCTGCTGCTTCCAGGACTAGAACAGGGCCTCCCATCAATTATCTCTGACTTTCTGTTCATGTGTAAACTCATATCTAGTAATAGGAAATGCAAATATGCCCCTCCCCTCTGTGATAAAAGGTGCAAAAAGCAACATGTACTACACACATATTGAATAAGAGAGGAAATGCGAAAAGGTAAATTGTTCTATTTGCTTACTACACAAGTGTGGGCACATGACTTCCTTATGCATATTATTTCCATTCTCTGTGTTAGGGCATCCCCACACATGACTTCATAATTTGAAGTATTGTATGAATGCCTCTGTAGTTCATGAATGGATCCTATCCTGTCTTGGTTTCTTGCCTACCTGCATGACTGATGGGGGAAGTTACAAGAATATCCCCTGATTTCACTATGGGGATGCCCAAGGGAAAGTACCTGCTTATTCTAATTACCTCCTCTGTTTCTGCACT